GTGAATGATTAAAATTGGTTTATAAACAAGACGTTTTAAAAATGTTTGTGAAAATACATAATTATGTAGGTGCATACGTAAGATAGGTACACAGGATTTCAAGATGGAGGCAAATATAGATGTAAACATGAATTGACATTTTCTGAAAGCAAGTTTTGTTGACTGCCTCTTTATAAACTGAAATTTTTATTCAGCTGGCCGATTATTATTAGATTACAGATTTGAATTAAAGAAGCCTTCTAAATATTAAATCAGTTAGCGTTTTTACAATTCGCCATATAGGCATAAGTTTATTTTATTTGGATTTTTCGTGGATATCGCTGATTTATCCGACCTCGTGCGCGATGGAAGTCATAAAACGCATAACAGGAAATTATCAACGGTCACGCAACGAGGTGCTAGAGTGGAGTTAAAGGTTTCCATGCTGTAAAATATTTATAGAAATCGCGAGAGGAGCTGCTTTATACAGTCTGTTTGATTATAAAGGCCCCGAGCTATAACTGAGTTACCCTTTTTGGACACCCTGTAAAGTACATATACCGGGTGATTCAGTTTGGTATTCGCGGCCCTGTATCTCTTTTATTTTAACAAATAGGTATAACAAACCCTATATATTTTTAAATCGCCGCTCAAACTCTATCAAATGACATTATCAGATCGTCTCCATGGTAACATATGTCAAAATTACTACAGTCAACTGTTTTTATTCAAAATATTTTATTTTTTTTTCAATTCTGGAAGATATTTTTTTTCTGCGTTCAACTATATAAGGAAGTCTATAATTTCATTAGAAATATTGCTAGAAAAACAGCAAAAAAGATGAACCCTACTTTTCGTAGCTTTATTCAGAAAAATGATAACCAGCTGCGGAAACAAGTTATTATGTTTTTTAAAGTAACATATTTTATTTTTAATACGATGATAATATAACAATTTAAAACAATGCTTATTTCAAATGTTCAAAATGACCTCCATTTGTTCCCAAACACAGAATAGCTCTGTTTTCACTCCCTCTCTACAAACACATTCTACTCTTTTTTCATTTAATCTCCGACATTCTACTCTTAATCTGTTTTTAAGATAAATATCATTTAGGTAAGGCCAAAGAAAGAAATCTATAGGGGTGAGACCCGGAGATCTAGCAGGCCATTTAAAATCTTTATCGAATGTTTTTCATCTCTTGCCGTTCTGAGTTTAAAAACTCTTCTTTTCTTTTCAAAACTTCCATCTGCCGTCAAATTCCTGGTTAACTTTTCGAAATTTTTTTCTGATGGAAGTTGTCTTTGCGGGAAACGATGTTGGTACCTATAAATACCTGACAGCTTTAGCGTTCTTTCAGCCTTTTCCATAAATTAAAATCATATCTAGTTTTTCTTGGTTACTGTAAGTATTCATGTTATATTTATTAGTTATAGATATAATAGGTAGGTACAAAATGTCAATTATTTTGACAAACCGTTATTTAGAAACATTAAAATTCAGTTGTTTCCGCAGCCGGCTATCATTTTTCAGAATAAAGCTAATGAAAGTATAGGGTTCATCTTTTTTGCTGTTTTTCTAGCAATATTTCTAATGAAACTATAGATTTCCTTACATAGTTGAACGCAGAAAAAAATATCTTCCACAATTGATAAAAAAACATATAGTGTGCCATTTGTATAAAAACAGTGACTGTAGCAATTTTCACATATGTTACCATGGAGACGATCTAATATCATTTGATAGAGTTTGAGCGGCGATTTAGAAATATATAGGGTTTGTTATAGATATTTGTTAAAATAAAAAAGAGACGAGGCCGCGAATAATAAAATGAATCACCCGGTATACAGGGTGTCCCAGAATAACGTGTACAACGGAAGACCACAGATACTCGAAATAGGCAGACTTAGGTTAATTCACCTAAATCCGAAATCGCTTCGTTTGGCCACTAGATGGCCTCAAAGTTCGTGAAAATTTTTTGAATTCTGCATATAACTGGAATATGTAATAATCGATTTTAATAAATTTTTGGGGTGTGGACTTTTGCTGTAAATCTTCAAATTTTGATGTTATACAGAGTGTTTTTTAAAACTCACAACTCCTACAAAATTGATGTATGGTGATAATATCCTTTCATAACTTTTTCCTCTTTCGGACAATAATGACAACTATTTTTTATTTCATAGGTGATATCATTTAGAAGTTTTTGGGCATCTTATAGAATATTGATTAAATGAGCGGTTTGGGTACAAAAAAATATTTTTTAAATGTCTACATTACCTTGCCACCCATAGTTTAAGTTTTAAGTAAGTTTTAAAAAACACTCTGTATAACACCAAAATGTGTAGATTGAAAGTAAAAGCCCACACCCCAAAAATAGCCAAAATCGAATAATACGTATTCGAGTTATTTATAAAATTCAAAAAATTTTCACGAACTTTGAGGTCATCTAGCGGCCAAACGAATATGTGGTCTTCCGTTGTATACGTTACTCTTGGACACCCTGTGTATACAGGGTGATTTGGAAGGAGCCCCCAATATTCCGAGAAGGTGTTCAGGGGCCTAAAGTGAACAGAAAAGCCTAATAAACATAAAGGTCAAATATCAACGGTTACTGAGATAGCAATGAAAAGCTCTTTTTGCGAAATTTGTTATTATTTGACATATTATTTTGAGTATTCGATGCATCTACACAAAACTCACATTAGTAATTAGTAAATGTCACATTTATTCTGATGTTTGGATAAACGAAAACCGTACACTTTACAAATACATGTTCACTAATGAGGCTCACAGCACAGATTATTCCGTAATTTGTGGCTCACAGTCAGTTCACTCGTGATGGAGTAAATAATTGTCACAATGAACATCGTTGGTGGAAAGTAACTTTCAGCATCGATTCAGCGTTAACGTGTGGTATGTTTAATAATCAATTACTTGGCCCAGTTGTGCAAGATAATCGTCTTACTGGAGCTAGACATTTAGAATTCTTAGAAAATAATTTGACATATCTACTGGATGATGTTACATTGGATATTAAGTAATGTACATGTTTCAGCATGATGGTGCCCCTGCCCATTTTAGTCGTGTTTTGATCAATCATCTCAACAATCGCTTTCCACATCGCTGGATTGGCCGTGGTGGTTACAGAAATTGGCCATCAAGGTCACCAGACTTAAATCCCCTTGATTACTTACTGCCTTTGGGGGTGGTTTAAATCACTAATTTATTCAACAAGAGTGAATACAAGAGAGGCACTACTCGATCGGATTTTCAATTGCACAGTACACATAAGGGAAAATCACCGTGCATTTCAACGAGCTACCCGTGCAATCTACACAAGAGCTAATGCATGCATCGAAGCGGACGCTGCGCTGGTATATTTGAACACCTAATTAATAACTTAATTAAATGATTTAATAAGTTTTTAATTTTTGATGTTATAATTTATAATAAAGAATAAATACTTTTCTCTACCGACACGTTACAATAATTATTAACTCATGTAAAAATATTTTTATTGCTCAGTAACCGTTGATATTTGACCACATGTATATTTGGCTTTTCTGTTCACTTTTACCCTCTAAACATCTCCTCGGAATGTTGGAGGTTCCTCTCCAATCACACTATAGATGAGTGGTGACGTCATCGATATATTTTTAAATGGGATTGTCCAAATTTTTTTGCATGTTTTGTTTGATTCTTTTATTCTCTTTCCAAGCATATGAAATTTATAATATATTTTATATAGTTTATTTATATAGTTTACGGTGCTCGCTTTCTAAAACATATCAAATAGAAGGCGTAGGAAAAACAATTCTGTCACATATCGTTTTTTTTGTAATTGTTGTCACCTTTCAACTTATAACGAAATGAATGATTTTAATGAATTAGTTGATAAACCGCAGGTTTATTATGAACTTAGAAAATACAGTGTAGCGTCTTTACATTTACATCGATGTTATCCTATAATAGAATTTTTCCTAACAGATAAAACAGAGTAAAATTGAGGCAAATCTGAGACAGTTAAGATAGTATAGGAAAAATATGTATGTAACAAAAACTTCGCAATATTAATAAACAAAAAATTATGCAAGATGTATTGCGATTAAACATGGCTTTGTTAGAAAAATTCTTTCATCTGTCCATAAAATCACTTTAGAAAAGTTGAGATTATTATTTGCATTAGGTACCTATTTAAGTACCAGCGACAGAACTGTATACTTTGTCAAAAGTCATTTTCATAAAGATGTTGAACCAAATTCACCTTGCAAACAATTTATTTTTGTGTGATACTGTCGACAATAATATAATTATAAAGCTGCAACACTGTTTTTTTCTACATTCATAATAAACCTGCAGCATATCAACTCCTCCATTAAAATAATTCATTTTGTACCTATATAAGTTAAACTTGAAAGGTGACCACAAAATTACAAACAAACCGATATGTTTTTCCAGCCAGCCAGCGCCTCCTACTGGATAGGTATGATTTAGAAATCGAACTCCGTAACCTAAAGTCAAAGGCTGAAAATTTTCACATTTTTTTTCAAAAATTTCGTTATGCCTCCGTATAACATTTTCGCATACAAACTTTATATGGTTGGAAAAGAAAATAAAATAATCAATCAAAATGTACAAAAAAATGTATACAAGCTCATTTAAATCAATCATTTATGACGTCAAAAAAAATGTGCGTTTGCATAAAGAAAATAACATTTAAAATTATATATTCTTTACAGGGTGTGCAAAAATGGGTAACCGAGTTATAGCTCGGGGCCTTTATAATCAAACAGACTTAATAAGGAAGAATTCTTATTACATTTAAATAATATTGTTAGTAAATCAAAGGAACTAGGAACAGCTATGGACGAAAATGAATAGAACTTCAAAGAAATAAAAATGTTTGTATTTCATCCGCCTTTCTCTTTCGATAAAACTGGAAATTTTAAAACAGAATTGAAATTACAGTTATGTACCTACGTCCGATCTGTAATAATAACAATAGTTATTTATATCGTTATAAAATTTGCTATCATTATTTATGCCTATAAATAAAAATATGTTTAAATCCAAAGTACAATAAACGAAATGAATGAAAACACGAAAGTCTGTTGTTAAAGTATTTTTTTTTGGATTGCAGGTGCATGGGGGGCGATGGGAGCTGGCACGACTGAGGGGGGGCTGCGGAGGCGAATGCCGCTAAGACGAGCGGGAGGTGGTGTGGCTGCTGGAGCCTCAGGGATAGGTGGCAGGGCCATGCGATACTACCGCCTATGGATTTACACTTGCAACACGGCCCTGCTAGCAGGAGCGCTGGCGTTCAGCGGAGCCGCCGCACGCACGGTCCTCTTCGACTTCCGGAGGTCGCTCATCCCCTCGCTCACCCTCTACCAACCTTCGTTCCTTTATGCCTACTTGGCCCTTGTGACTCAGGGGGGCGCCCTCCAACTTCTCGGCTGCGTGGCCGCTCTCAAACTCTCCGAGAAGCTACTGAACGCTTATTGGCTGGTGCTGCTCGTGCTGCTGTTCGGCGACGTGGTGCTGGGCGCCTTCTGGGCATTCCGGTTCGAGCGCATCTGCCAGGAACTAAAACCCGCGCTACGGGTGCGGTTCTATCAAGAATACGGCACCAACAACGAGCTCACCGAGATGTGGAACAGGCTGCAAGCCGAGAACTCGTGCTGCGGAGTCACTGGTCCCGAGGACTTCAACAGCAGCGCCGTTCAGATACAGATTCCGGTCAGCTGCTGCCTGAAGCCACCCCCATCGATGAACGGCACCTGCGAAGGGGAGCACCAACATCATCCGGCGGGCTGTGACGAGCGGCTGCTGGCCTACCTGCGCTCCACGGCCTCCCTCCTGGCCATCCTGGGCTATTGCGTTCTCGCCTTCTTGAAAATGTGCTTCCTAGGCATCCTGCGTTACGAGATCCGCGAAATGATACAGAAGATCCGGATCCTGCGGACGGAGCTGGAGTTGCCGAACGCCAACGGCGCCGTTCCGGGAGCCCTTCGCGCCGAGAGTGCCGAGAGCGAGAGAGAGTCGCTGCTGGTACGGCCGGAGAGCGCGGCGCTGCTGTCCTCGCCACCCACACAGACCAAGAACCCCAACGGCAACAACAATTACGAGATGCGCGAGTACCGCAGCCACGACAACATATGACTAAAGTATCGCCTAGAGGGTCTGTTCAACCGCGGTCGGTGGGGCCGCGTGAAGAAGGGTCCTCTGGCCACGCCACTGGAGGATATTTTCAAGCGCAAGCCGCGAGCCAGGGTGAGGGACGACCCGTGCTGAGAATCGGACGATCGGCGATTGTCAGTGACGATGGTGTAGCACGGTGCGCGACGCCATCGCTGACGTCTGCCTGTAGCTCGCCAACAACAATTTTGCATAAACTTCTCATTCTGTTAAGCTTATAGCACGCAACCATATCGAAACGCAAAGAAGTGTAGTCACTAGTCAGTCATCAAGTCACATGTACGGATTTCGCTCAGTGACGTAACAAGGAAATTTTGTACAGTGTAAATATTGCCACAATTATTTCGATTTAATTACAAGTTAAAAATGTGATAGATATGTACATGTAGCTATATTTATATTTTGTATATATATATAATGTGTATAAATAACCAAGCTGAAATCGTAAATGTGATTTGGTGATGAGAGTCCAGTCAAATATTTCTTAACAACTATAACACTTAAGTGTTAAGATACTTAATTTCCTGTAGACGGATGGTAAATTATATTAGACTTATTTTTTCAAGGCGACTAAGATTTCTCGAACTAAACATTCCAAGGCAAGTTTAAATTTATTTAAAATCGTAATGACATATAGCAGTAGTATATTTGTTTTATGAAACAATGGAAAAATATACCTAATGCCGTCAAAAAATACTTTTTTCCTCCAGTTACTGGTTTCAAAAGTCGTAACATAATTTTACACTGAAACAACGCAAAATATTAGGAACAAGTCACAAGTACGGGCAGTCCAGTTTTATATTCGCCCGTTAACCCGTAGTATCAAAAATGTTTAAAAGAGAACAAAGTTCATGGGTCGATTCTGCGTTTCTCTGCAAACTTATAATTTTGTAAGGTCCGGTTAACCTGTAAGTAACATATTTAGAGAATCGTAAATTATACAATTCTCAAACCGTCCCTGTAACGATCCTGTGTAGTTACAGAGATGCAATTTTATCGATTTATTACAGTTAATCTTAACCGAAAAAATTAATTTGTTCATCTACGAACATTGTTTTTTTTTAATATAAAATGATATCAGTTAAATATAATCATAAAAATATATACTTTATTGCTAGTGTGATGCCCATACGTATACATATTTTGACCACATTGACATATTGACCAGTTCGAAAGAGACTGACGGTATCAAAAATATCCTTTCTCAGTACATTCAATTTGCAAATTGCATTCATTCATTCATTTCACATTTACAGTTAAAATCATCCAGCAAATAGAAATAGACATAAAACGCAACGTGAAATACATAGATTTGATAGTATACTACGTGATTTATCAAGTGTTTATATCTGTTATATATGTTCCGTTAGGTTTATATTCCTATTTCGTATATCAGTAAATTTGCTTTTCAAATAAATAAATTTGTCTAAATTATTTTAACTTTTGATAACCTCACAAAAAGATCCTGTTCCGATGACATTCGGTTCGGTCATTTCTGTAATATACATGTAATACCTGTTTTAAATTGCGAATTTCTTCATGAATTAACTCATAAAGTCCTCATTTATGATGACGTGGACTCATGAAGAAGCTGGACAAGTGTAATACCAAATTTGCTGGCAAATAACTTCATAAATTTATTCATGAAATTCTTCACGTTATAATTTTCCTGAATTTTAGAAGTACCAACAGAAAAAGTTATAGTTATTTCTGTACATATTTACTTCAGCATGTTTTTATAAAGACTGGCAAAGTACGATTACATTTTTTTTCATGTTATCTAAAAAAAAAAAAATACTATGACTTGCTTACAAAGTTGGTAGTAGCTGTTTTTGTTTCAAAGAAATTCGCGAAGTTTAGAACAATGTACAATCTAAAATTTTGTACATAAATTGATGAATTAATTTGTAAAGAACTTTGTGAATTTATTCATGAATAAATTCTCAATGTAAAACAGCTATTACAGGTGTGTGCAGAATTGACCCGTTATACTATAGGAAATATGTTCGGAATGTAGGTAATATTTTATTTTTTGATATAAATTTAATTAAACTGAAAATAAAAAATATAATAAAATTGTTTAATGAAGAATCACCAGTTTTGTATGTATGTAATATCCAAAGTTATTATAAGTAGTGAATCAATGTTGATGTTGCGTTGTTATAGAGCGATCATAGTATATATTATATTAGTATTAGTAAAACCTTAGATTATTATTGAGGATGATATATTTTTTTAAGCAGTAGCAAAGCCTTAGGTCAATAGTCTTTTTACATTCTATCTAATGTATTTGGAACCAAAAAAGTATATCATTGTAAATTTGAAAAGAGTATTCTTTATCTGTGTATATTTTCATTTCATAAGTTAACGACAGCGGTGTAGAATCAAGCCATTCCAAGCGACACTAAATATTAAATTTGTTCACTCATGTTCAGTTAATGCTTTCAACTAAACAAAACTGAAATCTACACACATAACTTGAGTTTCTCATGTATTTTTAAACAAACTAGAAATTTCAGATAAGCTCGTACCCCGGTATATCACCAGGTCATATCCACACAGTGTATGTATGTATTTTATATATTTTGTAATGAAAAAATATATTAAAAGAGACACTCTGTATATAACAATACTTGCATGTCTCTTAGTTTCCCGATTTTGTTGGTCAACTTGTTCTTTTCTATATCGTTTTCTTTCAGACTTAGATACATTTAAATTTTTTTCATTATCTATTACGAGATGTCCGAAAATATTTAAAAATCACTCTAGGTACGTCTTTTAAGAATTGTTTAGTTGTGACTATGGAATTAGTAAAATCATTTGTCGGCACATACGTGTTAACTGAGCATGAGTTATTAATTAGATATAAGACTTCATTTCATTATAGGCCATATTTTAAGTTGAACTCAGCCTGACTGGACTGATAGGTACGACTGTAGTAGTAGGCAACCGCCCAACTCCGACTGAAGCTGGCAAAAATAAATAGTTGTCTTCTCCGCTGCATCTAGAATGATCCCTTAGAGCATTAGGAATTGCTGCTGTACATTCGCATCTCACAAAACTTGAGACTGTTGGAGACCGCCAGGTCACAAAAATGGACCTTTGAATCAATACAAAAAAAAAAAAAAACAAGGGACGCTTCGAGAGTTAAGTGTGTTTATATGAGCTTATATATTTATTATAAACAGTGCCTCGCCTCAATTCAAGTGCATTTGGTCGAAAATGAAGTACACCTTTGAAAGGATATTTATTTTATGTAGGTAGATGTTTCCTATAGAAATCACAAGTCAACATTCTGCATATTACAATGGATGAAGCTAAAAATACAAATGTGTAAGATATGTAGACTACTTTTAAGATCCCCAAAATATAAAGAAACAATAAGCAAATTAAAATATTTCTTAAGTAAGTAGATAGATATTTATAACGAGTGATTTCAGTACCTGTCTACCTATATGTAAAGTAGGCTACCTATATTAAAAAATATCCATCAAACATAAAAACAAATAAGATATAAGAAGGTTAATTTAGAAGTTTTTGTCCATTTTATCAAAAAACCTCACACTTGAGAAGGTAGAAAAATTAACCAAAAACAACATAATTATAAAATTATAATGCATACATCCCCAGAAAATGTATTCAATATACCTACCTAGTGAACTTTTATTTAATTTATTTAACATGAGATGTTGATTATTTAACAATACATTATATATAGTACAGTACATATGTATATGTATGATATATCGTCAAATTCATTTGAAGACTTATTATATTCTACATATAGAAAACCACCTCAAAAATACTGTAAGTGTAGCGGATAAAAAATTATGTGAATTTTAATTGGGGGTATTGGCGAATGTATTTCTTAAAATTATATGAATATTTACAAACATGTTTTCACTCAATATTTTGTTTTTAGATTCATCCAGAGTCGCCTACTTATTTTGACATTTTAGTAAAAATGATCAAACGTACGAACTACCGACTGTCTCAATAAATAGACATTTGTGCCTCTGATCCGTTCAGGATTCTCTAATATCAAAAATGAAAAAAAATAGTACTTGCACACGCAATTAACTCATACAAACGACTATAGTTCCTGTTTCATCTTCTGATTTAATTGTTATTACCCCAAGTGATTACTGAACGATCTGTACCATTGCGACAATAAAATTATATATCACTAAAAAAAGAAAACAATTTATAGGTACATACATAATATATGCCAAAAGATCTTTGGTGATCGAAATATATTTATTTCAAGATTGTTGGTTTAACTGGATTTTAAGTAAATCTTGCAAGGAAACCCAATTTACATAAATTGTCAATGTCTCTTCATTTTTTTTGGAATCAAATTAATAATCATACGGATTTTCTTAACCGCTAGAAAATTTTTCAAAACAAGCTTTTAGTGGTCATTTAATTAGTAAATACAGATTATTTTGAAAAATTTCATAGGATCTGTCCTGAAAACGTAATAAAACACTGGAACATTTTTTCCAAGTCTAATCTGAACAGATAAACTAACAATTCTGAAATAAATATACATTTTTAGTATTCATGAAAGTTGTAATAGCCTGTCAATTAAGTTTTTACTTCTCTGATGGGACACATTTCTCTTTATATAAAAATATTAAAAATCGTGGAAAAATTATTGAGTATTTAATTTGGATTTTAATCTTTCAATAATTTATAATCATTTTTTTCCATGTATTTTATAATTTACAAAAAAACTGGTTCTCTACAACAATTTACTTAAGAATAAAAAATAAATAATGAGATTCAATTTAGCACATCAGAATTATTGTAATCCACCGTAATTTGTTGTCAAGAAAAATAATATTTATTATCACCTAGGCAGTTATTAAATTCATATTTAAACAACTTATAATAAAAGAAAATGCAAGTACAATGAAGGACCTTTATATGATAAATGTATACCTAGTTTTGGTACCAGATACTACTACTATAAATATAATAAATTAAAAATATTGATAGAAAATCATTATTTAAAAAGTAACAAGGTAATTATTTACTATAGCTTAAAAATTCATAAAATTTTGCCTACTCCGCTATTATCGAATAATTTCGTGTTCGTGTTCAGCACTATTAAAAATAAGGAGGCAAAATTCTATGCATTTTTACGAGTTTTATGCTTAGTGAATAAATAAAAATAAATTTCACCATATTCATTTGTTATATACTGGGAAACCTCATAATTACGTTTGTAGAAAGATTCATTAATTTAATTCTGTAGTTGAATTAATAAAGATGTGTCCCTAAGGGTGTGCCTAACGGAATCGTTCAGTAAATACGGAAGAAAAAATATCATTAAATGGATACCAATACACTCCACTGCACTCAACAGAGAGACCAAAATGTCGAATTACTTTAGGCTTCCCGATTTTCATTTTCGCGAATTTGTAGTGCGACAGAGTTTATGTACTATTGTTAACAAGAGCTATTCGTGTTGTTACAACACAACTTGTAAAAGATGTATATATATATATAACTATTTAATAAAGTGTATTGTTAGTAAAAATTATATTTGTGACTACCTTTATGTCTGAAGAGCTTAAGTTGACGCTGCAATCCAAGTTGGAGCCTCCAATCACCACCTACAAATAAACAACTTACGACTAAGAATGGAAATAGTATTTTAAAGTGTAAAAAAAATCGATACAAATTTTGAATAATAATTTTCATAATGTTGCTAAAAATACATATATTATGTAGTACTCACAGGTTTGCCCTTTAACGTTTGCGTGTCATAAAGTCCTGTGCATCTACTTTCATGATTTTCATCCAATTTTGCCAGTTCAACGGCAATTTCAGCAGCAACTTTCGCGTTGTTTTTAATTAAAGCAATATCTGAATAACATTAAGGCTTAATCCACAGTTTCCAACAATAAATGCCTAACTATAAGTATTCTACGTAAAAAAATTTACAATAAAGGTTAATATTATAACTTATTCCCTAACTATGTATAGTTTAAAAAGAAAAATCTTATAAATTCAAAAAATATTCATATCTGTAATGATTGCCGTACAAGTATTTAATTGGCCAAGAGGATACTGGTCTTCAAAGATTTTCCACCAGTTATTTTTGCCACCTCCGACAAAAGATAAGGAGTTACATCTTTCCCCTCCACTTTCCTATGCTCTTTGTTTCTTTTTAAAGCTTCTTCTATGGCATTATTAATAATGGCCGGTTGAAGGGCATATTCTTCAGGAGCTGGAACGGCAAATAGCATGCCTAAAAAGAATTCCCTTTACAGCTTAATTTACAATACAAAGTGTACAATAATAAAATTTGCGTTATATTAATTTATATATTTACCTGAACACAAATCTAAATCCCTATTGTACTTGATTATTGTGGCGGCTTCGAGTGCATTTTTCACATTATAAGGCGCCTGACTTCCACTTACTCTTGAATAGAATGCCGGAAACTCTCTATTACTTCCGAAAGTTGCCACAAATACCCCCTGGGTCTCCTGCAAAAATGGAATTAGAAGAAAATCAAAAGTCCTAAATTCATACTAAAATGACGGGAATCCGTAATAGGAAATAATTTTTGATGCAGATCCAAAAAACTTTCAATTATTTTTTGATATATTTGAAATAAAAGAGAAAATCTTTCTTTTTCCCAAAAAGAATAAGGTGGTAGAATGTTACACACGAATGAATAACCCTGTAATCCATCAGAGAAGGTAATGGTTATTACTACAGTTTTTTTTTCCCTACTTACCAAATATTCTAGTGTTTTTGGGATGTCCAAAATGGACTTCACTCCACTAGACACCACAGCAACCCCAGATCTCCCCAATTCGGTAAGATCTGCTGATATATCTAAGGTCTTATTGAACTCTCTATGAACACCACCAATACCTAAAACAATCTTTTTAATAAAGGATAACTGATACAACTATTAAAGATATTAGAAATATTTAGGTAGGTAATTTATTATTAAGCTAGAGCATATCGATAGTCTGGAAGAAGAGTTATATCTCAAAAAATATCATTTTCCAGGATAGCAGTTTTAAATTATTTTAATGTTTATTTAAGCCTATTCCAAAATGAGAAAAAAATTAGAAAAATATTATATTTTATTTATGTGTCTATTTGAGCTGTTTTCAACATAACGTATTAATATTTCATTTTAATATTATAGTTGGAGAAATTTTGAAAGATGTAACTCCTTTTCCGAGAAGTTAAACTCGCTTTTGAGATGTAACTCTCTTCTTCCGGGCGAACGATATGATTTAAAAAGATTTTACAGTTCAGAGTTATATATTCTAAACGAATGACTATTGTTTCCTACCTCCGGTGGCAAAAACTGGTATAGCCACTTTATTAGCAACGATCAAAGTACCAGAGACTGTCGTACCCCCATTTAATTTGTTACTAACCAGATAAGGGAGATCTCTTCGTGATGTTTTAATTGGATTACTTATTTCCTTATCACCTAGATATGCAAGTTCTTCTTTAGAGAGGCCTACTTTAATCCTACCCTTTATGATAGCCACGGTGGCTGGGATTGCACCCTGAAGACAATTACAACATATAGCTTTAGATACAAACATTTAATTCATAATGAAATGTACAAAAGACCGGAATATTTTACCAACAGTGCAACACTGAGACAATGAAAAATCACGTCGTAATTTATGAATATAAAAGTCACTCTGTCATTAGAAATTTTGTTTTAAGCTGTGATTCTGTGCAGTTATTATAACTGTTTTGTTCGGCTATATTCATGAGCAGTTTTGACACTTTTGACTCGCTCTGGTGCTACCGCGACGAGAGTATTTGCTTGTCTTTGTTTTGAAAATCTGCTTCATGCGGGATTTTCGGTTAGCGCTGCGGTTAGAAGAATTTATGTTGGAAGTGGAAGTGACAAACAAGGATGGTGAAAATATTTAGGCTACCTATACCTTTTTCTAGTAAAAGTAAATATTAGAGTGGATGTATCAAGTAAAAACAAGGAAATAAGTAGGTAGTTGAATAAAGAGATAGTTATTCGCAATTATCGCCGGCGATTTTTAATTTATTCCTACTTGCTAGGCAACCCAAAATTCAAAATAAAAAACTAGCGAATAGAGCAATCCAGTCGTTGAACACAATAATTAACTGCATATTACATAGATTTGTGAGCTTACCTTTCCCCTTATTATATTTTCTACATCAAACGTGCATTCGATGTTATCTGGATAGGGCATACCGTGCGTTATTATTGTAGATTCTAGAGCAACAATAGGTTTTCCAGTTTCCAAACCAAACTTAACCTCATCTTGCACGTCTACATACGTATTATTAAAATATCGTTTTGTTTCGAAAAATCGGATTTTGAAGGGAAAAGATATTAGTTTTCTTACTTGTTGATACATGCTGCTTTCAATTTATATTTTATACAGAAACAATGTACCTAATGATGCTAAAAAAAATTACACAAAACACTGGACTACTAGCTATATAGCTATTACAGATTCGTATAAATGGCTGCATAAATCTAATTTAATTCTTTCAATGATTTCGATCTCCATATAAACAATGTTCACATAAAAATGATTTTGAAACAAATGTCCGATGCAAAAACACACATTTACCCATAGCAAAATCAAACATTAATTAGGTAAACTTTTTTTATTTTTATTGCCCCAAAACAAAAGCTGAAGGGCAGAAGGAGCCTGTCGACAAGATATTCACATTTAATTTCAATATTTCACAGAAATATATTTTTAAGCGAAGCAGCTATAGAACATTTTTTTAAAGCTATAAGTATGGTATATAGTTCTGAATTTAAGGAGAAACAAAAGATGTTAGAGAATGAAGTTGAAAATAATGGAGAACGCTCATCTAATTTGTGAACAAGGATATATTTTATTATTTTTAATTACACATATTATATTGCCGTTTTTTTTTTTCATTGGCTAACAGCATTTTGTCTTTTTTTTATTATTGTAATATGTACACATACTTTTGTATGTAGATATTCATTGTATAGTTGAGGTTCACTTTCCCATGAATGATTTAAATTTTAAATTAAACACAAATATCTGGAAAGTTTTTAAATGTTTTTCCATGTGGCAAAAATATTGTACCGAATATGCTTTATTTAATACACACTGTTTACAAACTTTGCCAGATCACAATAACAACTTAACCTTCCCAAAGCTCCCCTCGCGCCTTATAGTTCGGACATTTAGGTATATACATATTTTCCGTTGTTTCTCGAAATTTCCATAGGTTTCTAAGACCAATAAAGAACAATCTATAAGCTTCTACAAACATAACAGAAATGAATAGAACAAACTCTGGAAACATCATGAAACAAAAATAATAATTAAAAAAAGTGTATAAACAATCTCAATTAGGTTTTTTATAATAAGAAAAATTCAGAATACTGGCAACAATCGTTTATTTTTATGCGTAAAAGGTAACAATTTATTTATTTACACACTAGAAATATATAGTGTACTTAATTTTTAATAATAGAAAAATATAACTTTCGTGACCTACATAATTTTACAAGTTCAAATTTAATGTTTATTATGGGATAAAATAAGCACTTTTCTTATATTTTCATGAACCACTTACCATATACTCGACATATTACTTAATTCTTAAAATATTTCCTATAGCACAAAATTAACTAATAAATAGTCAAATACCTAAGTATATATATACAACTATTTACAAATAAATATTTAAAAATATCTAGTTACCTAATTATTAACGTTATTAGTCCACGATATCCGATATCTATTCTACTTGCCTCTTTCTAGACAGGAATCTAATTAATCGTTCAATTTCAGTTAACAAATCGGTATGACAATAGTCAAACGCATATAACCACATAACATAATTTTTATACGTTATGTTTATACAATTAAAAAACTTAAATATCTGATAAGTGTATAAAATATACTGAACACTTTGCATGTTGCATGCCAGCTGGAATAGTTACAACTCAAAATCTGTTAATTCTGAGTTATCTACAACTGAACAAAGATAAAAAAGGCTAATATGTTAAGCAAACTGTTAATTTAAAACTCAAGTAATGGCAAATTGTTGGAGCCAGTAACACTATTGCTCAAGTGGATGGAATCTCTGCCTCAGAAGTGCACCTTTCTCATTATCAGCCAGTATTAGAAAACCTTTAATAGGAAATATTTGATGAATAATGTGACATTTTGAACATTAACAGAAATTAATGTAATTATTATAAAAATGAATTGGGTTCTTTTGTGATATTTTGGGTCCTAATTGGATATATAGAATTTTCTTGAAAATAGGTCTCAATATATTGCAACGTTGCAACATATGAAAACTAGCTATTCTGTGCTGTACCCTGTATGGATAGCATACCAAAAAGCTAATAAACCAATTCATTAATAAATCTTGGAATAAGCAGGGATATATGTATGTGAAATATCATAAACAGTTATAATCCAAACAGTAAGAAGACTAATACTGCTCGTACCAGAACTTTAAATGCAAAAACTTTAATACAGGGTATGCCATTTAACACTCCCGCTGTCAATGTCTCCGAAATGAAGAAATTTATTTAGTTCCAGAAACTGGGGTTGTTAGATTTCTCCAATAGATTCCAATTGCAGTTGGAATTGTTAGTTCAAACCTTTCTGTATACAGGGTGTTTGGTAAGTCGATGCATTCCTTGCAGGAGGTTATGGTACAAGTGATTTGTGATATATTTCCTTAATATACCATATTCCGAAAACGTTTAGTTTCTGATCTACAAGGTGATAAAGTTTTAAAAATATATTAATTTATAAATATTGCAGAAAACGCTCAGAATATTTTAATGAAATTTTACAAGCTTTGACAATTAACAATATATGTTTTACGATAAAAATATTGTTTTTAGTTTCACCAGTGTCGTGCGCACAGGCATTTTTCTTAAAATAAAAATTATTTTTCAATTCCTTGTTCGATTTGGAAGAGAAAAGGTATCTCGACTGTTTTTCTGAGTAAAAAAATTAAAATCGATTTATTGCATGGCGTAATCCGGTTTCAATAATTTGAAAATTTGAAAAATTTGCATCTTTTAGTTAAAACATTAACATCCTGTAGATCGAAAACTAAACGTTTTCGGAATATAGTATATTAAGGAAATATATCACAAATCACTTGTACTATAACCTCCTGCAAGGAATGCATCGCATTACCAGACACACTGAACATTGCGTGGAGATAATAAACATTTTTTTGATTCCTAGAACGTGGAAATGCGGTCTATCTAAAAGATCGTTAAATTTTAATTAATTTTTGTAATATTAAATTTTTCCCAATATTTACTTGTTCTCGAGACATTTCGATGTATGATGTAACAGGAAAATCTATTAATTTATGTAAATCACACGGTGACAAAATATTCTTTTAAAATATTGTTATAATGGCTTTATTCACACCACATACTGACTAACAAACAAATTATAAAAAACAATCGATCAACTACAGAAAAAAAATTGTACAAAAAAGTTTTCGATATTATGGAGTAGGAAATCGGCAAGGACATGCACGCACTCGTCTTTATGTGTAGTTTTACTGCTATCGCATACACTTACACAGAAAGAAAAACCCCTTCCAACAAAAAATACCCGAAGGATATTTGAATGAATTAAAAATAAACATTTCTACCATGTTGTTGCAACAAAAGAATGAAAAATAAATTTATTTTATATATATATACAGAGTGACCCATTTGAAAGCGGGCCACCCTCATAACATTTTTATTTATGGAGCGATTTTGACGAAATTTTTTTTGAAATGTAGAGGGGGGAAAAGTGTATTTTGGGGCTAAGCGCCGTCCAGTTCTTTTTTAAACTAAGGCCTACTAGATCACATTCAGAGGCTGAAAAATCCAGAATCCATATTAGCGATTTTTTTAGAAAAAATCTGCGTACGCCACTGGATTCGGCGTCCCCTGAAATGGATCTGTACCAAATTTCATGAAAAAATATTCAACATTAACGATTCTGCGGCTAAATTGCTGTCAAATTGTTTATTATGCATAAAGAAACTTTTTATCTAGTAACCCATGCGATAATAAATCAATCACAACAAATATTTAATAACACGTTTAATAGACATCATTATACCAAAATACAATGAAACAGACAGAAAAATGAACGAGAAATTAACATAAAATTTACAAAAAATACAATAAAATAAAATTAACACACATGAATTAAATTAAATTCTGGATTTTTCAACTAAATCTCCATTTAATTGAATGAATATTTTTGTAAATGTTGCCTCTCCTAGATTTTTTTTATGGGGGTTCATTAAAGAAAAAGTTTACTACACTCGTCCAATGAATGCAGAAGAACTGCGCGAAAGAAGAAGATAGGCATGCGCTGAAATTACAACACATCAATTGTCTAATGTTATGGCACACATTCAAAAACAATACAATAAATGCATTCAATTAAATGAAGATTTAGTTGAAAATTCCAGAATTTAATTTAATTCATGTGTGTTAATTTTATTTTATTGTATTTTTTGTAAATTTTATGTTAATTTCTCGTTCATTTTTCTGTCTGTTTCATTGTATTTTGGTATAATGATGTCTATTAAACGTGTTATTAAATATTTGTTGTGATTGATTTATTATCGCATGGGTTACTAGATAAAAAGTTTCTTTATGCATAATAAACAATTTGACAGAAATTTAGCTGCAGAATCGTTAATGTTGAATATTTTTTCATGAAATTTGGTACAGATCCATTTCAGGGGACGCCGAATCCAGTGGCGTACGTAGATTTTTTCTAAAAAAATCGCTAATATGGATTCTGGATTTTTCAGCCTCTGAATGTGATCTAGTAGGCCTTAGTTTAAAAAAGAACTGGACGGGGCTTGGCCCCAAAATACACTTTTCCCCCCTCTACATTTCAAAAAAAATTTCGTCAAAATCGCTCCATAAATAAAAATGTTATGTGGGTGGCCCGCTTTCAAATGGGTCACTCTGTATATATCAGAAAAGAATTTAAATATAATATTTTTGCAGTGACGCATAGTGGGAAATATTGGAAAAAATTCTCGCCATTCGCCAATTTTCATCGTCTCGTCGTGATTTTTTTTTAAATAATCTCGTAATCTGAATTTTCATATTCCGTTGAGGTTTTTTCGAAAAACCCTTTTTTTTTTAATGCTTAGGGAGCGCCCCTTATTATGACCCTTGATGATATATCTGATGTTTTTTCTTGAAAACCTAACTCCAAATATATCATCAAGGGTCATAATAATCAATTTTATTAATAGCAGATACATTTTAAAAATTTTTTTCTACAACTGAACATCGAGTACTTATTTAAAAAATTTTTCCTCGACTTTGAGGTTGGGCCGCTCCCTAAGCATTAAAAAATTTTAAAAAGGGTTTTTCGAAAAAATCTCACCGGAATATGAAAATTCAGATTACCACGAGATTATTAAAAAAAAAATCACGACGAGACAATGAAAATTGGTGAGTGGCGAGAATTTTTTCCAATATTTCCCACTGTGTGACGCCTTAATAATAATTTTGTCCAGAACAGCATTAATTTAATAAAATATTACGTTGTGGATTGCGAACAATATGTTAACTATAACAGATATCGATTTGAATTAAGATTTCCTATTTTTTTTTTATACCTATATGTATGCAAATGATTTACCTACTTCTGAAGCAAATAATAATGTTATTTTCTTAGCTGATGACACTACCGCAGTAGTTATTTTAGCATACAATCTCTACACGGGAACTTTTTAATCATAATTTTAATGACATAATTTAATACTTTTATTTTATTTATGTGGTGATTGCACGTTTATCTTGTAGGTATTTTACCTTTATGTGTGTGTCTTGAACTTTGCCATTAAGACATATTATATAATTAATTTCATAATAATAATTATTATTGTTATTATTTTATTGATTTTTCAACTATGGGTATCACACCACACTCGTTCAATAAACATCTCACAATGGCGAATCAATTTAAATCAGAATATTCATACCATTGCACAAAAAGCATACATGTAACATAACACTAATCTTTTTTAAACCAAAAATGAACTTCTGATGGACTTAGTTTTGGCCCATCCATCGGGAGGATACACCAGTGAATGCTGTGGAAAAAAAAAAAGAAGAAATAATAAAAGGTATACATTTTCTAACGTGCTATAAAATTATAATCAACAGGGACAGAAGTACTCCAGTGATCACCCCGGACTTTTGACACCGAATAATATCGAGCCACCCTTTTATATAATCTTAGTGAGCTGCAACATATACAGGGTGTCCCGAAATTAATGCAACAAAATTTGGTCACAAATTCTTTAGCGGACCCATATTTTTTATTTTTGCCAAGTGGCCCCCTTTTCGGAGTTACAGCCTCCTGAAATCCGCCCCTAAGAATCATCTTTTTTTATATCTCAGAACCCTGTTGCACGAGAATCACTAAATTTGGAACACAGGGGTTTGATGACGTGGAATCTGATGGTGCTACGTGTTTTAACGGGGAACCCTCTTAAGACAGTTTTTCGTGGGCCTCCTTGTCTTTAGAGCCAAAAAAATTTGGTCGCATATTTAAATTTCTTAAAAATTATTAGTCCGCTAGAAAGCCATTAAATTTAGAAACTTTTTTGTCACTGGATACTTTTTCCATAAAACGCAATGCTTTCGAGAAAGATGTCAAAATGTGATTGAATGCATATCGTGGTTCCCCATTTTCCTCAAAAACATTGCGTTTTACGAAAAAAATGTCGAGAGACAAAAAAGTTTCTAAATTCAATTGCTTTCTAGCTAACTAATAATTTTTAAGAAATTCAAATTTGCAAACAAATTTTTTTGGTTCCAAAGACAAGGGCGCCCACGAAAACGTGTCCTAAGGGGGTTCCCGCCAAAAAGCGTAGCACTATCAGATTCCACATGTCATAAAAACCGTGTGCACAAAATTTAGTAATTCTCGTACAACAGGGTTCTGAAATATAAAAAAGACTATTTTTAGGGGCAGCTTTCAGGGGGTTGTAACTCCGACAGAGGGGGCCACTTGGCAAAAAGAAAAAATACGGTTCCCCTAAATTTCTCTTAAGAATTTATGACCAAATTTTGTTGCATTAATTTCCCGACACCCTGTATTGGGAAAAATATAAGCACAGCAAATTGTATTACAGTGAGACTAGTAAAGTTTGTTTCTAGATGGAGTGGTTTTCATTATTCGTTTAGGGTAAATTTAGGGTACACTGGGATAATCAAATTTATGAAATTTGAAAGTTGGCCTGCTAATTTTACACAGGATGTAACTTTAAGTGTGGGTCAGTTTTTTAGGGGTAATACGGTGCGTACGATATTTGTTAGGATATATTCCACCAAGACTCCTGCGTCACTTTCTTGGAATTAATCGCATTCGACATTCGAGGTAGAATGACATGCCCCTACCATGATAATTGTTGCAGTAGTTCCGATAATTTTCTTGGAATTCTATCTCGGCAAATATTGTATGGATTGTAGTATGTGTTCCTCTGAATATGAATCTAAAATTCTTCTAAATTTAATCAAATAAACAGTCAAGTTATAATAAATTTTTTTAACTGCACTTTAATTTTTGTTTACGCCTCCACTTAGTGGCATAAACCGTGCTATCTGGATTATGTATTACTACTTTTTTTTAAGCCATATATTATGTATTAATTTGCGAATCTCAATGTCAATGACCTATGATATTGGCCTAGTTTAGTTGAACTGCACTACTGCCATGAAGTAAATAGGGACGCATTTAGAAAAGTTAAAAGAGGTAATATTAAAAAATTATAAAATTCTAAACAAAATACAATACGATTTCACACATTTTCAATTGGTGTTAGATGCACTAAATTAATACAAAAAAAAACAAAACAACATTACACTGTGAATAGTTTAAATTTAAGCAGAACCCGATCCTGTTCCGAACGCTTATGAAGGCCAACAGGGATTAGCATCCGCTGTTCAAATAAAATTTTGTAGTGCCACCTCTTAAATACCGCTAAAGCCAGTTGATTTCACCTGGTATGATATAAAGCATTGGTAAAAAGCAAAAATGCCACATTAGTTCGGCTAAATGGGAATGGCCAATGGTTGGGAACATTTTTAGTTAGTTTATCAAGTGTCTTTGTGTAGTGTAATTGTATAACCTTAACAAAGTTAGTTATGTCAGTGTTTAGTGCTGGGTTTTTGTTGATATACAGGCTTTTACAAATTCTCTTCTCATTACAAGGATTTTGGAAACGGTAAGAGATACGAACTTTAAATGGGGGCAAAGTTGCGAAATCAGGGGACCAACATTATGCCTCTAAAAAATCAAAGCTAAGGTGATTAGTTTGCGAAATATTTGGAATAGTGAAATTTTGGAAATCCATTTTTGTTTAATTTCAGCCTTGTTTGAGGTGACATTGAAAACAGAAGACACTTTCTTACGGCAACTTTTTGCCCTCTATGGAATGGCATATTCAATTCTTATATGTAACATCTCGTCTTTCCAGGACCATCATTCTAATTTTTTTCAATACGGCCCTGGAAATTTTATTATATTTTTTCAGCCTTAATGATCCCCAATATTATATTGCCTCAGCTCAAACCAGATTCAGACGTTTTGTCTCGAAAAATTCATCTTCAATGTATTCGTTCCTTTATCTACTTTTCTTATTTAGATTTTTATGTTTATTAAATTATCGTACACTTTAAATGTCGTTAGACCCTGTGAAATCCATCAAGTTATTTAAACAATTACCATCACCTGGTCAACGTAACTCAATAAGGTGTTGTGTCAAAATTAAAACTTTATTACAATTTTAATTTTATTATGCCAAATTAATTCTTAAAAATGTATATGAACAACCAAAACTTCAAATGAATGTTATATTTTAAAAAATTACAGTAAACGTTCAAAAATGTTTCCGTTTTGGCAGAAAAATTTAGATAAATTTTGAACGAATACATTGAGGATGAATTTTCCAAGACAAAACGTCTGAATCTGGTTCGGGCCGAGGCAATACAGTATCGGGGGTTATGAAGACTTGTAAAAAAATTTCCAGGGCTGTATTTAAAAAAATGAGGTTGGTCCTGGATAGACGAAACGTTACATATAAAAATTGATAATTAAAAAGTTGCCAGTTCAATATCATCTGAAACGAGGCTAAAATGAAACAAATACGGATTACCAAAATTCCATTTTTATTTTCAAATATTTCGAAAACTATTCCTGTTAGCCTCGATTTTTCAGAGGCATAATGTTGGCCCCCTGATTACGCAACTTTGCCCCCATTAAGCTACTTCGTACCTCTTACCGTTTCCGAGATCCCTGTAGTGAGAAGCGAATTTGTAACAGCCTGTATAAGCACCGAATAAGAAAATGTTTGTAAAATTGGTTCAACATTTAAGATATTGTGGGAGCTTTGAATGCCAATACGCTAATGTTGGATGGAAACAAACTCAGCGAGTGAGGAACCAGAAATTTTAAAGGGTGTGGAAGGGGATCTTGATCAGAACATTCACAGATAGCCACATGATTTCAATTATGTCATATGCTGTAAAAGTAACGTGCCAAAGAGCATTACTTGGGGCAGATGATGTAGAAATTTGCTTTTTAACAAAATTCACCTTTTAATCACACCTTTCCTTTATAGACGAACGGTCCACCCCTAAAAAGATGCTTAGAAAATCAAGGTCACCGACCACGAGGAGAGGCCAGGATGAAACCTTTTGTAATCGATGTATTGAGTTATTGCGATTAAAAAACCTAAGTAACATCTTTGTGTCCAAGTAGCAGGTTATTATTGTTATTAACAAAAAAGTTGCAAAATAAAAATATTGCAAAAAAACGCTCTGCAAACAAATTGGGCAAATATAAACACTTTTTGTCTCTTGATATTTTGTCGTAGAATGCTTCCTTTTCGAGCTAGGGGCCATTTAAGGTCGAAAAATGGCTAAAAGATGCCAACTTTAAAAATTCATATCTCAGCTCCTACCAAAGCTTTTGGAACGTTCAAAAGTGCAAAATGATCCTCGAGACTTATACTTTAATCTAGTATTTTTTTTAAACCCGCCCCCTTTTTTTTAACCCGTTAAATTTGCAGCTGAATTTCGGCCGCTAGTGCCCACGCGCCACCCCTACGTATCGCTATATAACGCTGTCGTGCATATAATCGAATAAACGCTATTCATTCATTACTTGTTACAATTTTTACTATTTAGTATTTCTAACACTCATACATATTTTTAAATTCATCAAATATTGTATATCATATAATTATTTATAAGATTTAATAATATGAATATGATATTTAAATGAAAAATAAATTAATTAAACATTACAAAAAATGCATATATCAAAGGTATTTATTAATACAAAAAAATATATTTACATTTAAATATAAACTTAACTATTTAATAAAAAATCAATTTTCAGTCTCCGAATCAGTATCATCAGTTTGTATTTCTGCATTTTGACATTTTATAGAGCAATTGCAAAGATCGCAACATTTGAAGCCTTGTGATAAGCAAGAACAAATGTCTTCATCGCTGCAGGGTAACTTTCCACTGCAGGAACATATGAATTTTTGTAACATTTCCATGGCCGTATCTCCTTCAAAATAATTGTAGCACAATACATTATTTTTTAATATCCAGCCATATTGTGTTGGGTCGAAGGATGTTATGCTTGCAGATCTTGCTTGAGACCATTCATTGATTTGCCATTTAACACGCATAACATGTTGTAACAATACAGGCTCTGCCGGAGGTATTGATGATGGTATTGGTATCATGATGATTCGATATTTACTATACTATCATGTACATACTAGCTATTGGGAATAATAAATATTGTATTAAATAACGAATAGCACAAGAATATTTTTCGAAAACTTACCTGCAGTTTTATACAACATTGAATATTCACATACGTTGCATGATTGTTTACAGACTAATAAAGGATTGTTGCACTATGACAGCACACATGAATATTGTAGAAAATGTATTATTTATTTTTTATACATTCTTTGTCAAATGTTCACTGTTATTGCCTGATGCCAGACAATAAACTAATGATCCATGCGACACCCGATCACTGCAGTCTAATCCATTGCGCTTGTTTAAACAAGTTATAACAAGTAATTCGCATAAGCGCACGTTCGCGAAAACTCGGTTAGTTAATATTTTGGTTGACTATCTATGCGTATCCTTTTATAACATTTTATATTCTAGTTCTAAATAATTTTTTGATATAAATATAGTTATATATAGTTATTATTATTGAAGCTACATTAATGAAGATACAGTTATAAATATAAATCAATATATTTGTAACGTAATACATATTATTTTCCATTTAAATATGATATTCATATTATTAATCTTATAAATAATTATATGATATACAATATTTGATGAATTTGAAAATATGTATGAGTGTTAGAAATACTAAATAGTAAAAATTGTAACAAGTAATGAATGAATAGCGTTTATTCGATTATATGCACGACAGCGCTATATCTATATATAGCGATACGTAGGGGTGGCGCGTGGGCACTAGCGGCCGAAATTCAGCTGCAAATTTAACGGGTTAAAAAAAAGGGGCTGGTTTAAAAAAAATACTACATTAAAGTATAAGTCTCGAGGATCATTTTGCGCTTTTGAACGTTCCGAAAGCTTTGGTAGGAGCTGAGATATGAATTTTTAAAGTTGGCAACTTTTAGCCATTTTTCGACCTTAAATCGCCCCTAGCTCGAAAAGGAAGCGTTCTACGAAAAAATGTCAAGAGACAAAAAGTGTTTATTTTTGCCCAATTTACCTTGGAAAATTGTTTGCAGAGCGTTTTTTTGCAATATTTTTATTTTGCAATTTTTTTGTTAATAACAAATTACCTGCCACTCGGACACAAAGATGTTACTTAGGTTTTTTGTTCGCAATAACTCAATGCATCGATTACAAAAGGTTTCATCCTGGCCTCTCCTCGTGGTCGGTGACCTTGATTTTCTAAGCATCTTTTTAGGGGTGGACCGTTCGTCTATTAAATTACGAGATTTTGACAAAAATGAGGAAACATAAATCCGTATAAATGTGACCTCCATTCAAAGTTACACCTGTATATCTCGGCAAACTTGTAAATAATAGAGGAACTTTAACTAGTGTGGAACTGAAACAAATCGAGATTAGGGAGATCAAGATTAAGGCCCGCTTCACTCACTTCCATTTCTGGTTCCGTGATCTTTTTGAACCTTTCATTAACAAACTGATCAACATTCATCACATCGTCCGAACTAGTCGAATTATCTAATAAGTTCGCACTGGAATCGACACCCGACAAAATCAACTCGTCTACAGAGTTACGCAAGTTAGGTAAGTTCAAAAGTGAATTATCAGAAAGCAGATCTGTATGAACAGGTAACCGATTATCCAGTGATTGTGTTTTCTTAATAAAACTCGATGGGGCTGCGGTTTCCACATTGCCCTTTTCGAAATTATTGATAATAACGCTGCTTTCAATAACTGGAATACACTGCACTTCTTCACTTGTAATATTATTTTGCGTTTTGATCATGGAGAAATCGTCTCCGTGGGTCCTGAAATACAAATCTGTCTTCTCCTCGTCTCCTTTTGTATGATCACAAATAACTTTTACGTCTCTATAGGAAGATGACTCTGTCTTTTGTGCTTCAACCTCTTCACTTTCCCGAGATTTATTGACCACCGTCACATTTTTATCTATCCCAGCGCCTTCATCTGTATTTACCGGTTTAAAAAAATCACTGTTTGTAATCAATTTCAAAACAGTCACATCTTTATATAGTTCACTATCGTTAAACTTGTAAGGGCCAGGTGGTAAACCAATTGCATTACCCAGAACTTTATCCACATCCACGTAGTTCTTGTTCTGTTCTACTTTTTTAAATAAAGCACTAGTTAAAAGCAATACATTATGTAGAAGATTCGTCAACTCCTCGCAAAATTTTATACCACGCTGAGCAGAGGGACATTTTTGGGTTATATCTACTAAATAATTCCAAACGTCAAAATTTAACTCATTGTGGGGTATTGGACCGTGATCAGGATACTTTTTTATGTGCTGTATCATCTTGCTTTTACCTAAATAAGCCTTCTTACACTTTGGGCATCGGTATTGTGCTGATATTTTTCTTTTACGCTGATGAAATTCTAACTGAATTTCATTTGTTTTTTTCACCTGTTTATTATCTTCTTCAAAACGTTCAAATTCGGTTGTTTTCACGTCATGTTCTTCGGAGTATAAAGCGCCATCTTCTGTCTCCATTTTTTTAAAGTCCTAAAAATTGTAAATTTTTTATCACTGCTCCAACGATGGTGAGGAATTTTATATATATATAGAAATACCTTTTCAATATATTTTGGAAATTTTACCACACGTCCAGATCTAGTTCTAGGAACAGGTTTCACATTTTTAGATATTTCTACGGGTAGTTCCTCGACCTTTTTTTTCTTTGGTCTACCTCTTTTCAAGTTATAAATTGGCTAAAAATAAGCTTCTTTCTAATCTGCACACATTTTTTTTTGTTAGTTAATTATAATAATATAAACTAACTTACCTTTAAGTTAAAATGTTCTGGATATACAATTTCGTATACAAAATTAACTTGCTCATTTACATTCTGAGTTTCAACCTCCATGTCCACATCAACAACCCTTCCTATTGCTGATATCTTTGAACTTTTCTCAAGGCATACTTGCTCTAATTTCTGACTGGAACTTGGTAGAATGTTAATGTCAGCTGGCTGAGAAACTGATAAAGCAATATTACTGATATCATTCTCTGACAAACGAATTGCACTCACTGCCTGCAATTAAAAATTTATTAGGACACTAATATCAAAGTTCAAACTTCCTTACATCTTTTAATTGCAATACATACGGTGCTGTTGAATTTTCCGACATTATTATATGAAGCAACTATTGTGTATCGTATCCTAATCCAGTTTAATGTTCGTTAAATTATCCTGCAAATTGCACTATGCATATATTCAATTATCAATTACACAATGTATCAAAAACAATATTATTGCATGTGTTTACAAATATCAAATTAATTTCTTTCTCTTTAAGAAGTAACTGGTTCACTCAGATTTCAGCTTCAGTATATTATCTACCTATATAGGCACAGAATATAAACAAACACAATTCTGTGACCTAGGGATAAGGATTTTCACAGGGGATTTCAGTTTCAGACAGTGTTACCAGATCTCCTGTTTTCACTCTCACTCTCCTGTTCTACTGTTTTTAGTTTCAATACTTTCAATATCTATTCTAATTTTCCCCAAATAAGAATATTTTAGTACGACACTGTTCTCTAACGGCACTGTGTTCGTCACTTGTCAATATTTTCAGTTCTGTTATATTTTCTGTAGCCCAGTACATATTTAAATTTTAAATCCGCAATTCGCGTTTTTCTATGTTGACAACTGACAGTTGTCAAATCACGTAACGTATTGATGTAATTGAAAACTATTAAACGAACTCCTACATTTATATATTTTGCTATATTTTGTGCATGTACTTGTGTTCCTCTATTAAAAAATATATTTATTAAAATCTCGTGTTGAAAGCGAAATCTCCTGTTTTTTTGGCTACATTCCTACTGTTGACAGAAATTTCCATCTGGCAACACTGTATGTGAATCTAAAATCTAACCTTTTCAAAATTAGTAATTGGTATGTGTATTTTTTAACAGTTTTACGTTTATGGTAATTTGGATAATTTGCACATAAGAAGTCAATAAAATGCCATACGCAAATCAACCGTCGGTCCATATTACTGATTTAACAGATGATAATTGTAAATTCTTCATTGAAGACACTGATTTAAGGTACATGTAGTGTAGTATGCATACTTTAATTTATGCTATGTAAAATTAATATTGTAGTGTTGCGAATAGCATTCGCCGCGTCCTTATTGCTGAAACTCCAACGCTAGCCATAGATTGGGTTAAATTAGAAGCTAATTCAACTGTTCTCAGTGACGAATTTCTAGCTCATAGAATAGGTTTGATACCTCTAGTATCTGATGAAGTGGTACAACGTTTACAATACCCGAGGGTAATTACAAGTCTAGATATAAGTAGGTAGTTAGTTTTCTAATGTAGATTATACTTGTAGGATTGTATTTGTACTGATTTCTGTCAAGAATGTAGTGTAGAGTTCACTTTGGATGTTAAATGTACCGATGACCAAACTAGACATGTAACTACAGCTGATCTAAAATCCAGTGATCCTCGAGTTATTCCAGCCACTTCAAAACATCGCGATGATGAATCTTCGGAATATGGTGAGACAGACGAAATTCTTATAATTAAGTTGCGTAAAGGTCAAGAACTTAAAGTGAGAGCATATGCAAAGAAAGGTTTTGGTAAGGAACATGCAAAGTGGAACCCTACCTGTGGGGTGGCCTTTGAATATGATCCTGATAATGCAATGAGACATACTCTGTTTCCAAAGCCTGATGAATGGCCAAAGAGTGAATACAGTGAACTGGACGATGACCAATGTAAGTTCTTATATTAATTTTAAATTATTGTGTTCCATTTCTGTTTACATTAGTGATGGGCAAGATTCCTATCATACGTATAAATCATACAGATCTCTAGTAGGAATCAATTCATGCGGAGCCAAATGCAAAAATAATTTCGTATGTTTTCACCACCGCATCGATACGAATTGAAGTAAATCGGTCTCTACTGATTCTCGTATCCGATACAGGTCGATAAGATGTGATGCATTAGATTCAGTTTAGTGCATAGGGTACTAAATATTGAAATGGGAATATGAAACTACGAAACGGTGGAACTTGGAACAAACTTATGGTCTATAAAATAATCGGCAGAATTTTATGCATTTCTTTTTAAATGTTGAACTCTTTGATCAAAAACAAATTTAAACATTAAGTAATTATATTTTTCCCTAAATGGATTTAATAAATAAATAAATAAATAACACATAATAAAAGCAATTTGTACTGCAACTGCCGCTGCAGTTTGTAAAAAGAGGTTGAATTTGAAACAAATAATGCGTTAGTTCTATATTTCTTATTAAAATTTAATTAGAATATATATGCGACAGAGAGTGTGATACGAGATACAAGATACGAAAAGGGAATGAGTAAGTGACAGAGGCACTCATCTACAATAAATACAAGTACAGCTTGCCACTTAGCCAAGCCGCACCGAATAGTTTTCCCTGATGTGGAATTTTATGTTGATACATATCACATCATGCGGATTACTAAAGGAATCCTTATTGCCCATCTCTAGTTTACATTATTGTGTTCTATTTTAAATAGGTATTCAATGTAAAAATGAAGTGCCCCTCCCAAAAAAAAAAAAAAAAAAGCCTTGAGTTTGATAATTTGAAAAGTATTATTTTTAGCTTGATGTTTCTAAAAGCTACACTACTAATTATTATTATCTACATTTTTTAAATTTAGGACTATTTTTGTCAAAAGCATATCAAAATTGAATGAATGGTTTGTAGCATTTTACATTCAAATATTTTTAAACCGTATAGAAATTTCTTTATATTATGTAAAAATGTATGAAAAATTGGAACTTGTATTTCAAGTTTGGTGATAATTGTTGATAATGATAATGGCAATACGTTATCAATCTTATAATTTTAAATCATCCTAGATTAACCAACCAAGTACTATACCTGATTGGTCTCATTTTGCTCCAAAATCGCGGATTGGAAATGTATATTCCACTACATATTAACTATTACTAACATTTGTTTACATTTAGCTACTATTTATACCAAGACTCAAAATTTCAAACAAAGGAAAATAATGGAAGTTTGAATAATATTTAAGGTGTTTTTCTTTTAATCATATGTCTACGAATGAAAATTATTTTTGTACATCCTATAAACACCTATTGCAGATTTAATCATATTTCAAGGTTGGCAATAGGGATTTTGCCCTTAAATGGCAAGGGATGCTATACTTTATCGATCTACAGAAAAAATGTGTTAACTTAAATATTTTTTTGTCAACTTTTATTTCTTATATCCATTCTTCTCCAAATGAATTTGTACTCAATATTACTTACTACTTAAAAAAATCGAAGAATTTTTCTTTTATCTCCGTAAAAAAATGAACATAAAAATATAGTCACTTAATTTTTGCATTATACAGGGTATCCCAACGAAAATTTGACACCCCCTATAATTGGAAAACCGAATAATATTTCAAAATTCGCCGAGATCCGTCGATTTTTGTTCTTGGGGGGAGCTTTTTTGACAGTCAAGCCAACTCGATATGTTCATCCCCCTAATGCCTAGCAACCCCAACTTAAAAATTTCAAATGCAACTACCCCACTTGTGGCACATCATTTTAAAGCCCTTTTCATTGCGAATACAGTGACGTACCGTTTTTAGAAATCGGTTGAGATTTGACAGAATTATTGGTTACAAACGAAAAGATGACAAACCAACTTACGCGTAGTAATTTCTACACAAATGCCCACCACTAATAAGTTTTTCATCTACTACACATGACCGCATTACCTAATTGTTATTGATGTGTCTATCAGTTTACAAAAAAGTCAGAAATGAAATAAAAAAGCTGAAGCAAATAATAAATCAGATTTATTTGATGAATTGCTCAAAATGACCCCCGTTAACTTCCAAACAATAATACAGTCTGTTTTCAAATTCTGTTCGAACATTATTAAAGACATCCGCAGTTATTAATCGGCATTCTTCTACAATTCTCTGACGTAGCACTTGCAATGTTTCCGGCTGAGTGGCGTACACTCGTGATTTTAAATGACCCCACAGAAAAAAGTCCAAAGGGGACAGATCCGGAGATCTTGGTGGCCATTCGACGGGACCTCTTCTGCCAATCCAATGCCCCGGGAAATGGTCATCCAAAAATTGTCGCACAGCAGCAGCATAGTGCGGGGGCGCACCATCTTGTTGGAAGGTTATTTCATTTTCTAGTAAATTGTCGTCACTTTCTAAAATCTCTGTTATCCTAGGATCAATTGTACTTTCCAATAATTCTAGATAGGTGTTTCCATCGAGATTACCTTGGATGAAAAATGGTCCAACAAGATGGTCGCCCAAAATGCCTGCCCAAACATTCAATTTTTGAGGTGTCTGAGTATGAAATTCCCTGATTAAATGCGGATTAGTATCACTCCAATAACGACAATTGTGTCTATTCACTTCGCCATTCAACATAAATGTGCATTCGTCGGAGAAACATGTATTGTAGAGAAGATTTGGATTCAGTAGAAGTTGTTCACTAAAGTATTCGCAAAATTGGTTACGGCGATCAAAGTCATCTTCATGTAACTCTTGAACCAGCGTCATCTTAAATGGATGAAACTTGTGTTTTTTCAAAATTCGATGAACACTGGAACGGGATACGCCAGAAGCTTGAGACACAGTTGTAATCGATTGCTTATTATCCATCTGTACATGACCCAAAACTGCCACTTCAACTGCTTCATTTCGAACTGGCCCAATTACTTCACGTTTCTTGTTTAAAAGCGAACCTGTTGCAACAAATTTGTCAATCAGGTGTTTAACGTACTGGTGGTTTACATTTTTTTCAGGATGATTGGCATTAAAAATTCGTGCTGTAGCTTTAGCGCAATCGTGATTTCGATAATAAATTGCAACAATTTCTACTCTTTCCGCGATAGAATAAACCATTTCGAACACACGTTAATACTTTCAATAACGGCTGAAACTAACGATTTCTTGGTCACAAGCAAAAAACACCGACTTTTTTTGTAGTACTGATTTTTTGTTATTTTGAAAAGGTCTGAATTCCTATAAACTTAAGTATCTTCTACTAATAACTATTTTAGTATCTAGTTTTATTTGCTTCAGCTTTTTTATTTCATTTCTGACTTTTTTGTAAACTGATAGACACATCAATAACAATTAGGTAATGCGGTCATGTGTAGTAGATGAAAAACTTATTAGTGGTGGGCATTTGTGTAGAAATTACTACGCGTAAGTTGGTTTGTCATCTTTTCGTTTGTAACCAATAATTCTGTCAAATCTCAACCGATTTCTAAAAACGGTACGTCACTGTATTCGCAATGAAAAGGGCTTTAAAATGATGTGCCACAAGTGGGGTAGTTGCATTTGAAATTTTTAAGTTGGGGTTGCTAGGCATTAGGGGGATGAACATATCGAGTTGGCTTGACTGTCAAAAAAGCTCCCCCCAAGAACAAAAATCGACGGGTCTCGGCGAATTTTGAAATATTATTCGGTTTTCCAATTATAGGGGGGGTCAAATTTTCGTTGGGATACCCTGTATACACAACTTGTAAGTGATATTTATTTTAGATGAGGCACCATTCAACTGGGAATTGAAGCCAAATAAATTCTTTTTTAACGTGGAGTCTGCTGGATTATTAAAACCAGAAAATATTGTGATAATGGGTGTTGCCATGCTGAAAGAAAAACTGTCTAATTTACAGACTCAACTCAGTCACGAATTACAAAATGATGCCCTAGCCATATAAGTCCATTAGTTTTAGATTTTGGTTGTATTATGCTTTCATAGTTAAAATAATAAAGAGTAATCAATTTTGAATGTACATATTTAGTTTTTCTCTGTTGGTAGATAGGGATACGAAGGATTCGCACCCCAGATGAAACATATTTTTTATTTGATGGGCAATGGAATGTTTGCAGTTAATTTTATCATTATAGAAAACATTGAATTGTTATGTAGGTTAAATGTTTTCGAACTTGAATTTTTGGAAATCATATATCTAGAAATTATGTTAAATAAATTTTCTCACGTACAAAGTCTGTCCAATCTATCAAATTTTCTTTTTTTTTTAACCGTATTTATAAAAAATTTCTGTACAAGAAGAGAATTTAATTAAGAATGGAATTGTAAGTGCAATAATAAATATTTACCTTTTCACAATCATAGGACGTGATGTATTATAATATCAGGGTAACATTGATTTCTATTGTCACTCAGAATTTGATGTTTCATTTCAAATTTTAAAATAATAACAGAAATTAATGGACTGTTACGATGATACTGTCAAGCTTGATATTTTCAAGTATCCCACAACTTACCAATGTGACTACAAACCGTATTGCGATTACAAAAAGGAAGTATACAAACAGACCAGTGAAAGGAGTGAATCTTTAAAAAAAATAAATCCACCACCCCCAATCGATGATCATGAAAGTTTTGCCAGATGGAGAGATGGTATTCACATACCTTTTGATCTACTTTTACAACCAAAACCAATGGTCGGCACAGATCCTCACAGACCCTTCCAAAAGTTGGTAAGTTAATCGTAAAACAAATGACAATATGTTGACTTATAAAAAAAAATTCCAACATTTGAATTTTTGTTGTGTATTTTGGATATCTTCAAAATATTTCCACTTCAATGTCTCTCATTGGTAGGCACCGATCGAAAGCCTTCAGAAAGAAGAGTCTATTAAAACAAGGCCACGCGTTTATATGACTCCAGCATCTAGCATGGACGACATTGAAGATCAAGAAATGAGAGAAATGCTTTGTAATTATATGTATACTACTGAATGGAGAAATGCAGAGAAAGAAGCCACAGCAAATTGTGACAAGAAGAAAACAAGAATACTGTCTGACGGGAGGAATATCTCTACTACTGATCCTGTAAGTATGTAAATAAAAGGAACTACGGTTTTCTTACAGCGTCCCATGTTTAAAAATGAAGTGTCTAACCCAATATCAGGTAAAACTACAAGTTGACATATACAAACCGATTGAAGAAAGTTTTCAACGCAAGGGGAAACAATGGGACAATCCTCAATTAAGGAGTTTCACAGATCCCACGAGAGAATTTTGGATTCACAAGGACCCTCCAGTGTTGTAAGTCTAAATTAGGGTTTCCTCGTTTGGAAACAAAATGAGACGGGTAATATTAGCCGGATCAGAATCCTTATTTCTCATCATCTCTCACTTTATTTTGTCTCCAAGTTGATTTCTCGATTCCCTAAGAAAATTGTTATTACATAGATAGATGAAAATACTTTGTTATGAAAATTATTTCGATTTCGCATATAGATGTGGCGCATGCGTGGATCCCTTCGAAGACGCAGTCCCGAATGAAACCAAGAAAACCATATCTGCATTAATCAATGACGACAAGTTACGTTTAGCTCACGACTACCCACCACCTAGCTATGCAGGATATAGAATGAGACTTGCCAAGGGAGTCCCCTTGTCCAAGGTCGACTTGCCCACCATTCATCCTTTTCTTTCCACTTCCCAGGCCATAACGGCTCGCTATGCTAAAGATTTAAAGAAATGAGGAATAAAATATTCTGGATAGGTATAACACTAGTTTTTATTTATGAGAACTGCTGAAAGTACGCTACAGGGTTAAAAGAATATCACATTTTTGGAATGTTATACTCTTAAATATAATATACATTCTAGCACCTATACTAAAAAAAATTGAAGATCATTCAATGCGACCTTCAAAAATTACTTTATTTACTTTAATTTTTTTTTTAAATATTAAAATTAAAAAATGACTACAAAAAAAAAGGAGAAATAATTATATATATGTTTATACCTAATATAAATCTGAATATTGGAAAAAAAAAAGAAAAATATCTATTAGCTTTAGCAGTTAAGGGTTATACTACCCAGGAATTTTTTTTTATTGGCTCAAACTATTCAAAAATTATTTTCAGGGACAATCTTTGATAAACAATTTTTATGGCTTATTTTCTGAGTCGCCCCCGAGTGCTTTGAAACGTTTGAAAAGGCCGCTCTGCTGTGCGCAATATTTTAAGTATAATACAGCTCTGTTGGTAGTTTTTGCCAGTACAAATCAGTTATACTTCCACAAAATATTTTATTGCAGGCTAATAGCTTTAAAAAATACATACCTACACGTATGTATACTAACATATAATATAATCAACCAAGTAACACAGACATTCAGGACGATGTGTTTTGATCTTTTTTTTTGAAAGAGCGCAGTTTCGCTTGCTACTCCAAGTTACGCGTTCATCTGCTTTACTTTATGTTGTTTTTTAAGTAGTTTTCTTATAAAAATGAGTGAGAAAGTGTACGGACGTTGATTAAAAGGGAACAAATCATCATCAACTCGTGACAGTCGAAGCAGAAATTCCAACAGAAAGCCACTCAACTGCCACAGTTTAGAGGGTGACATCGAGGATGTTTCTAGATTAGCAAAAAAAAATCCACACATCAGAAGATGATATTGAAATCGATGCTACATTGCTACCGAATTGTGAAACTTTTAACGTGTTTTTTTTTGAAACCGTGTTTTTCAATTCTGCGTACAGCGTAGCTGGCTCCTCAATTTTTATCCGATTGACTTGAAATTTTAACTGCAGCTTCTTAGATAGATTATACATGGAAATACACACGATTTTTACGATTGATAAATAATTACATATGCAATAAACAATTTAAAGTCGATTTTTTACCAGAAAAAGAAAAAAAATTAAAATCTTTGGTTCCTCCAAAGAAACACTCATGTACAAAAAACTTTTTTTTGCCTCTAGGTGGCGTTCCAGAGTAATACCGGCTATGCCATTTTCCTCCTCGGAAAGACATTTGTTCAAGTTACCTAGTGCCACGACACCATTTTGCACCTACACTTTAATACACATAAAATAAAGTCTCGAAACTTTATTTTGATTTATTGCTTAGTAATCACGAAGAAAATTCCCAAAAAATGTGTCTGAGTAGTATAACCCCTTAACAGATTAACAGATCAGTCTAGTATTACTAGAAAAAGCAATCATAAGAATAAACAGAGAATCACACATTAGTTAAAGGAACAAGTAAACTATAGCCTGTGCCGCTCTCGTCCGAACTTCTTCATGTTCATCTTGGAACAGTCTCATCAACCTGTCGCACACAATATCCAACGAAACTTGGTGCTTATTCTCAGGTGTTAACTGGGAATAGAGCAAGCCGGCTACTAGAGCAGCATTGCTCCGTATTTCCACCCACTGACTTTTGAAGTAAGACAGGCTGGTCATTATGAGTAAAGGGAACAAATCCTGAATTTCCACAGCCTTGAATTGAATATTATGAAAAAAGATTAAACAGAGATTACAAACTTAAATAACTACAGTATTTTACAACTAAAAAAATAACAAAACATACCATCTCCTTAATTAGATCTCTAATAAAGTCTGAAAAGTGCAAATTGGCTTCATCAATTAAATGTTCCTGTATCATTGAATTTACTTTAGGACTTTCTAAATACGGACCGATTTTCCTTAAAGTATATTTACAAGCCTAAAAAGACATACTTGGGAATATTCCAGAAAATTTGTTACAAGTCTTACCTTTACGACGTACATGTCCGGATCGCAGAGGTGCAGCATTAAGGTTACAACATTTCCCTGGATTTGTTCTTTAAATGCTTCCAAATTTGCCTCGGAATTGAGAGAATTGGTTAAATCACCTAAAAGCGTAAATGAGGCTCTCCGCAGGTTGACGTCTTCTTGGCCTAATAACGGTTTAATGCGAACCGCTGCCGTCACTTGGAAGGAGCTAAATTTGTATCCCGTCAATGTTATAAGCAACTTTGAAAAGCTCAACATTCCTTCCAATATCACGGCACTTTCATTTCTACAAGAAGTACAGAATGTAACCGATTTAAAATGGGTACATTATCTGTACAGGAAGGTCATTTTCTATCTCCACAAACAGTGTAATTACACAGAAACTTATCTACTGATGGCTTGTGAAAATTTCATATTTTAAGAGATGATTTCTGTATACAGGGTGTTCCATTTAACACTCCCGCTGCCAATGTCTCCGAAATGAAGAAATTTATTTTAGTTTAGTGGGGTTGTTAGGTCCCTCCAACAGCTTCAAATTGGAGTTAAAATTGTTAGTTCAAATCCTTCTGTAGAGATGGCGTAGCGATAATAAAAAAAAGATTTTGTTCCCTGGAACGTGGAAATGCAGTCCATCTGAAAGATCGTTAAATTTTGAGTAATTTTTGTAATATAAACTTTTTCCCTATATTTACTTGTTTTCGAGATATGTCGACTTCAATATGCAATGAGTGATATAAGGAAAATATATTATTTTATTTAAATCACACCGAGTCAAAATATTGTTTTAAAATATTGTTATAATGGCTTTATTCACATCATATACTAACTAACAAACAATTAATTATTAAAAAAAACGAATGATCAACTACAGAAAAAAAAATTGTACAATGGCAAATCTTATAAGGGTCAGAGACAAACCGCATTTTATCAAATGTTATTAAAAAATGCAGTCATAGGTGGCTCATGTCATTTGTTTAAAATAAAACATTGACAGATGACACATATTAGTTTTCCAATAATTACAGTTTTATCAGTTTGCGTCTTTCAATTTAACTGTACTAGTTATATGATTTACCATTGTAAAATTTTTTTTCTGTAATTGATCATTTGTTTTTTTATAATTAATGTTTGTTAGTTAGTATGTGGTGGTAGGGAAAACTTTATATTACAAAAATTACTCAAAATTTAACGATCTTTCAGATGGGCTGCATTTCCACGTTCCAGAGATCAAAAAATTGTTTAGTATCTCCACGCCATCTATACAGAAAGATTTGAACTAACAGTTCTAACTACAATTTGAAGCTATTCGAGGGACCTAACAACCCCAGTTTCCGGATCTAAAATAAATTTTTTCATTTCGAAGATATTGGCAGCAGGAGTGTTAAATGTATAACTGTGTAGATACAAACAGGTGTTTTTTTCTTATTTTTTTTTCACAGTGGTACATCTATTTAAATTTTAACTTGATATTATCGTACTGTTTTTCAGGCTTCAAAATTCTAATAAATACTTGTTTGTATCTATCAGATTGCGAACTTTGATTAACCCTTTCACTGCTCCAGACGTATTAATTCGCATGAATAGTTAAATTGGATCAGGCTGCTCAAACCGTATATATTCGCAACCATGCGCATTAGTGACTGGGTTATTGCAATTGGTAAGTCGAATTTTGCGGGCGAGCTTATACCGATTGTGACAAATATTTTTATGGAAAGAGGTACTGGTAATAATACCAAGATTGTTCATGTTTCTTTCAGTTTCTATTTAGTACATATACTGTATTTTATTCAAAATAAAATCGTAAAATTTATCGTAAATCGTAATTTAACACAACATAATGTAAAACTATAAGTGGTCTAACTGCTCCAGACGTATATATTCGCACGCGATAAACTTTCGCGCACGGCGCGGTAGCTACGTTCAGACGTATTGCGCAGCGAAAGGGTTAAAG